GTGACCCCGGGCGTGGGCAGGAGCCGGGCTCCCAGCGACGGCTGGGGTGGAAGCCCCTCGTCTCGGGGCCGCGCGAGTCCTTCCGTGCCGAGGAGCTCCCAAGAAGGTCCTTTTTCAAAATGTGAGCGCTGCGTGGTGCTTCCCTCTCGCATCTCGGCCCCTCTGTGCGGTGCTGGGAAGCTGCAGTTCGGATTTCTGAAGCTCTCCCTTGATTTCTTAAAGGTTGTGTTAAAGGAATCAGCACTGAAGAGGTGCAGATCCATCCCGGACACCAGAGGGGAGAGAGTGACTGCAAGATCCACGTTCTGTAGTTAATTCAGTGTTAGATCATAGGTCAACTGGGACACACAAGCTTAATTAAAAAACAACGCCATTTCAGACTGTAGTGGTGGTTGTACACGGACTTGGTACGCTCAGGAGGGTTGAGGTCTGCTCACATCAAACAGTTAAGAGCTGTGATGTGTTCTGGTTCCCACATCTAACGTGTTGGTAGGGTTCATTCGTCCCAGCAAGCAGCACATCTAGAGTTGTAGCTGCCTGGTAGTTATGGAACAGTTAGCTAACGAAGGTGATTAAACGATGTGCGAGCAAGGATTTGTATGAAGTCTGTTACAGAGGCAGCGTTCTGCTCCTTCCCAGTGCTCTTGCTGACTCGTGGGTTGTGCAGGTGGCACATTTACATTTAATAAAAACATCGGGTCGTAACAGGTTTACATATAGGGCGCTTTGGGGAAAAGAGGGGGGAGCAATCATTTAGATAACTAAACTGACGCAGTGAAAAGAAGGCAGGAAACCGTCGCAGAGCAGCTCTCCAAAGGGCGCCCGGCGCTGCTGCCCCCGGAGCTCTGGGCAGGCTCGAGGCGCTGTGGGGGGCCAGAGCTGCAGCTTTGCTGAACGGCTCTGGCAGGGAGCTGGGAGGCTGCTGTGGCGTTGCCCTCCTGAAGCCTCAGGTCACAGCTGGCAACAACCACCGTAAAGCGATTCTCCAGATGCAAAAAATGCTTGGGGGTGAGCAGTTTTGTTCCGCGCTCTTCCTGAAAACTGAGGTTTTGCTCTTTCCTTTTTCCGTTACTAAAGATCGCTTGCTCACTTGCAGTGTCCCGGGTCTCGCCGGTAGCCCTGGATCACAAGCCTGGCTGCAGAGCGTATGCTCAGTCAGTGTTTTCTAAAAGAGCCTCTGCAATCAGCGTGTTTGTTTTAGCAGCTTTGTGTGCCAGGAAGCAGCACAAAAATCTGTGCCAGCCTCTTCCTGACAGAAGCTGTGGGAGGAAGGAAGGGTTGGCAGGCAGGTGGAATATTTGTCGGATGGAGAGGAGGTAATTCGGGGGCAAAAGCATGTCGCTGGAGGAGGCTACCTGACTGGAGCTTCGCTGAGATCTCCGTGGCTTGGAGAATTGCGGAGCGGCTGATTTTAAGAAGGCTGGGGGCTCCTTGTGCCATGAGGCGCTGGCAATCACAGTTCCTAGATACTCGCTGTGCTTAATCTGCAGTAAACCTCAGGAGCAGGTGTCTGCGTGACCGGGAGTGTTGGTGGATCCTGGTTTTGGCAGCCAGGTCAAGGACTGGTTGTGGGCGCCGCACTGTCCGTTCATCTGCGTGGCAGAGCTGGTGACGTCTGGTGGTGATGCCAGCGCAGTCCTAGCTCCACAGCTAGAGAGCTGCTGGCCTGTTGATCTGAACCCTTTTGTGGATGCTCGGTTTCCCTTACAAGAATAAAATCCCCATCCGTTGTCCCTAAACTGCAGGAGGGGATACTGGCAGGAGGAGGTTCTTCATGGCTGTTTCATGCTTTGCAGAAAATGCTCTGAGGGCGAACTGGACAGCGCCCGCTGGAACTAAATCTGTCTGAAAAACATCTTCCTTCACCCAAAGTCCTGTTTGTCATCAAGAGGGAACTTCTACAACGGCCGAACTCTGCGAGTGATGGGCTCGGAGAACAGCGCTTTGAAGAGCTGCACACTAGAAGAGCCGCCGTTCACGCTGCCAACCGGACACACAATTTATCCGGCCGTGCTGCAAGATGGCAAACTTGCATCGGTCTTTGTGTACAACCGAGAGAACGAAGAGAAGGTTAATAAAGCTGCCAAGGTAGAGAGCGTGCCAGGGACAGACTTGTCAGAGCTGTCTCTCTTTTTTCCGGGAGGGATGGGAATCTGCTAATGAGGGTCAAACCCTTGGGGAGTGAGGGCAGGAGGAAAGGTCGGAGTTGACCCTGGCTGCAAACAGCTGCCGTGCTGGGGGGAGAGAGGGGGTCGGCATCGCGAAGCTCATCGTGTGCCGCACAGTGCGAGCAGCGGTGGGAAGCGATGTTTGGATAGCAGCACCCCCATTATCTTGCAGAGTTCTGGTCTCTTCCTGCAGATATGAGTCGGAGAGTCTTTCTTGGGTGGATCCTACCTAAAATACTGTCTTTATTCTATGTAAGACTTTGTATATACTTTATAAAATGTTCTGGAATGAGTGAGTGTGCCGAGTGCTTGTTGAGGAGCAGGGATGGGCCGAAAAGCAGAAAACATGGCTATAAGTACCAGGCTAAGCTCTGCTGCCAAGAGATGCCTTGGGTGAGCTTTAACGGATGTCTTTGTTTCTGGAAGCACCTGAAAACCTTGCGCCACCCTTGCCTTCTGCGCTTCCTCTCGTGTACTGTGGAAGCAAATGGGATCCACCTGGTTACAGAACGTGTGAAGCCTTTGGAGATGGTCCTGGAGATGCTCTCCTCCGCAGAGATCTGCGCAGGGATCTACGACGTGTTGCTGGCGCTCATCTTCCTCCATGACAGGGTAGGTACCACTGGCAGCAGTCGTCAGGCTTTGGTGGGAGCCAGATGAAACGTGACAGGAGAGCGTTGTACCTGGGCTTGCCTTAATGGCTGCCTCATTCCTGGTTCCTCACAAAAAGATGGACCCACACCTCACAGTTCTTCTAGGCTGAAACTGCTAAAATCATTGGCTGCTTTGTAGGAGGAAGGGTAACTGAAAATGCTGTGGGTTTTGGGAGTAAGGGAGCAGTTCTCAATCCATGAACTGACATCTGCTTGCAGGACTGGGAAGTCCACTTCAGGGAAATGGGATTGCTGGGCCTTGGCATTTATTTACAGCTGTTGCCACATGTCAGAGATCGGTGTCAGCGCTCCCCTGGTTTGGCACTGCGTCTTTGTCCAAGGACTGCACTTAAATCCCAGCTCAGACTGTAGTTTTTGCCTTTGTGTTCGTAGATAGAGGTCTTCTCTGGAGGTACAGTGGCCGTTAGAGCTTTGTCTGCGCTAAAACCCCAGCCCTTCTGCCCGATACCTGCTTGTCACCTACAAAATCCCCAAGGACCTTTAGAATCGTGCGCTTTTTGGCAGCTTTTCCTCGGCTCCTTGCAGCACCGAATTAGTGCTGACTAAGATTTTACATCTTCTCTATGCCCAAGTCCGTTATCCTTTTTATTTTTAATGTTTTAGGGAAACCTAACGCACAACAATGTCTGCCTGTCATCTGTGTTTGTAAGCGAGGATGGGCACTGGAAGCTGGGAGGAATGGAAACGGTCTGTAACTTCGATGAAGCCACCCCAGAGGTAAGCGTCAAGCGACGCCTGGGACAGGGCTGCTGGAGCTGGCCATCTACGGGTGGCAAGGCCCAAGTCCTTCCAGTTACCTGAACTGAGTATGAAGTGTGTTGGCTCACTTCCAGCTCTCACCTGAATCTTTGCTCTAGGGACACCGTAACTATGAACCGCAGTGTCTACACAAACAGAAAGTAATTCCCCATTAGCCAAAAAGCAGCTGCCTTCCTGAGGGAGACTGCTGGCTGGAGGGTAGGCTAAGACTGAGGAGAGTGAGAAATCTTGGCTTCTCTGGACTGATTTGAAAACAAAATTAAAAAAAAAAAAAAGAAGCTTTAGCGTGAAGCAGTAAGACCCAGGTTGAAATGAATCAGAAAAATAATTTAAAGGACTCCTTAGCTTTTGCTGCTGGCACCTTCATTGCTTGTTACTGGTCTTAGCAGAAGAATTCCTGCTTTGGTTTCTGCTGCATGCTGTGCAGAGTCATTGCTGCAGCATGGCACTGTGTCGTAGCCGTGTAGTGCCTTTTCTCCCAGAGCATCCACAAGTCCTTCATGAACTCTATTGAGCATCCCTGCCGTGTATCACCTTTCAGAAGGGATCAGGCAGACATGCAGCTGGGGTGCAAAGAGCACAGCAGTAAAACCTGGCTGCTGGAGCTCGTGAAATCCTTCCCCTGTCCAGGTGGATCAGGTGGGACGATAGGACTGAGGACTGAAGGGATGAGTTGGCTGTGATGCCCTGAAGTTGCTTTCTGTCAGCTTGGTGCTTCCTCCCCGGGCAGTGCAGAGTGCCGCCTGCCCTGGGTGCCGGCTGAAGGGGCAGGGGCAGCCCTCCCAGCCCCCAGGGAGAGCCTGCTCCTGCTGCTTGGCACAGGTCCGCGATCGAGGCCGCTCATGGCTCCCCTCTTCTCCTTCCAGTTCCTCTGTCATGTCAAGTCGGTACGAGACCAGTCATGCATTCCGTACGAGGAGATGGTGAGTAACGTCACTTGCTGGAGGAACGTCTTGCTGCCAACAAATACAAGTGCGATGTTCAGGAAATAGTTTTAGTTTGCACCTTTTATTTCCTTATGCCTGAGTGGGAGGAAGTGGCTGTTGGATAATACCTGAGGTTTATTCTTTTCCTTTTCCCTCCCCTTCACTCCCATCCCTGGTTTGGGTACGGCGTTGAGCACAGGGAAGTGAAGTTCTGAAGGAGGAGCAGTGGGACAGCAGGTCATCAGAATATTTTTCATACACTTTGTGTTGCAGCTTTAACGCTTCTAAATCACCAGAGCTTTGCAAAAATCAGAGTAGTTGCTGAGATTGCCCAGTTCACTGTGGTCACACGGTTGTGTGGCTCTCACGTACAACAGCCTTTTTTTTTTCCTTCACTTGTTAGTCACCTCCTAGCTATTAAGCATCCTGTGAGTTGATTATCTTAAAGGAGCACTCACTTTCTCTCTAATTAACACCCGTTTCCATAGAAATACTGAAAGTTGTTGACTTGCAACTGCTGCGTGCATTCATGGGGGAATCGTTTCATCGTGACGCAGTTGCTCCTGTGGGTTGTAAATTCCCCGGTGGAGGTTTTTTTAGCATCATATTCTACTTGTAGAGTACCTAGTGGAGCTTAGGTGCTATAAAAAGAATGTGAGAGTGTATATGGTGGGCGAGGAATAGAGACTCTTGGAAACTATCAAGTATTTCATAAAGTCCTGCTTTGCTGATCTCTGTGGGTTTTTTGGCTTTTTTTCAGTCTGCAGATTTCAAAATTCTGCCCAGCAGCTACGGGCATGCGAGGGATGCCTATGGGTTTGGAACAATGGTTGAAAATCTCCTGACAGTCCTAAATGATCAGGGTGAGGAATGACACGCATTTATTTTGCTATCGACGGGCCCCTGTAGCTTATTCCTTGCCTCTATCACCTGGGCCGTTTGCCTTTCGTTGCAGCTGACAGGTGTGCTGCGGGTTCAGTGGCCGTTGTTGTTCTTCGTGTTTGCTAGGTTCAAATACAGGCTGGAGCTCCTCCCACGTTCCCCTCTTCCTGCATTTGCTGGAGGTCACCAGCCTGCATGACACAAGCACTCCCACAGCTGCTCCGCAGCAGGCAGAGGGTCGCGTGGTCTCTGCCCCACCAGCCGCTCCACTGAGGGCTGTGGACGCAGGCGCGTGGACATGGTGTACCACAGCGGAGCAAGAGCTGCTGCCTCCTCGCAGAGAGGGAGCAGGAAGCTCCTTGGACACTCCTTTGCGTCCAGTGGCCGAGAAGCCTAGGGAGAGAAATGGAAATGCTCTTTTCCCTTCCCTTAGGGACATATATGAGCAATTTTGCCATCAAATAGAGCTTCTTAAAATAAGTGTTTGGGAGGGTGGAGGACTCCTGAACATAGCTTGCTCAGTGTTGAGAGAGAAACCTAACTGTAGGTGCTGTGGTTTTCAGTTTCAGCAGATATTCTCTCCAGCTTTCAGCAAACCTTGCACTGTACACTGCTGAATCCAGATCCAAAGTGTCGTCCACCACTGTCCAGCTTACTGTCTCACGAGTTCTTCAGGTAGGGACAGGAATATCCTGCCCCTCTTGGTATCAGCTTACTGTCTCACGAGTTCTTCAGGAAGGGAAAGGAATATCCTGCCCCTCTTGGTATGTCTTGATACTGCTTATTTCTGTGTTGCAAGTGTGTAAATTGTGTGAGGGCGTGTTACTGATCAGATGGGAAGTGCAGACTTAATCCCTCCCTCTTATAGGGATCTTTGACAAAGAGACTCCTTAAATTAAAAAATCATTATCAGCCTTCTGGATGAGGTGCTGAGCTAGCAGTGGTGACAGAAGCGTGTCCCTTAGTCACACGCAGTCAGCTGGATCTCCCCAAGCTCATGGGAGGTGGTGGGAAATGCTCTAGAAACTAAAATCATCAGGGATACCGCTGGAGCAGCGCAGGCTCCGGGACAATCCAGAGCGCGCTCTGTCTGCTGTCACCCGAGTGCTTCTCTGGGTGGCATTTCCTTCTGCTCCTTGCCCCAGGAAGGTGATCAGAGGTGGCCGATGCCATGTTGCCCCGGTCTCCCTGTGAACTGCTGCCTTCAGAGTGCAGCCCTGCGCAGGTGCAGCTGTCGGGTAACTGGTCGGACCCCCGCGCCGGCGTTCTTGGTCCACCAGCATTTGTCTTGTATCCCTCGGTCTAGTTCTCTCTGCTAAGTGAGGGACGGGGACTTGCAGTCTCTCAGTTGTGGGTGGTTTAAGCATCACTATGGATCACGCTTGACAGCCTGCCTTTTTGTGCTTAGGAATGATTTTCTGGAAGTTGTGAACTTTCTGAAGACCTTAACACTGAAGTCTGAGGAGGAAAAAACAGAATTTTTCAAGTAAGTGAAGGGACTGTAATCTGGAAGCTTCTTATTTCAGAAACACTGCTGCCAGTGGGGCTGGGGGGGACCTGGGGAGGCTCGTGGCCAGGGAGGTGGTTCCTCAGGTGCCAGATTTTCATTGCTTTGGCAGAACGTTGTTTGCTCTGTAATATTTTGGGTACTCCAGCCAAAGTAATGATCACATGGGAGAGGAAACTATTCACTCCCTCCTTCCCCTGTTTGTTGTTGTGAATGGTTTGACGTTTGGGAGGAGCAGTGCCTCCCGGGCTCTCCATCGTTCTGGTAGGCGCCAGCCCCGGGAGCGATGCTGCGCACAGCCGTACCGACAGCAGTGTTTTTACCTGCTACAGACCGATTGCTGTCGCTGGAGAACCCGCCAGAAACCAGACTGTAGTGACGTCCGTCACTTCAGGTGTGCTTTTCTGAACCCCAGCTGCTTGCGAGCAGCTGGGTTGGACTCTCCTGCAGGGCCAGGAACAGAAGCTTTCCCAGGAGCGGAGCCATACGAAAAGGAAACAGTTTTTCCACTGTCTGTGTTCTGAGTTAATGCACTTTGCGGGGAGTAACGCTGATGTTATTAGCAGAAGCTAAATTCTTCAGGTTCTCTTCCACCCGCTTTCGCAGCGCTGTCCCGTCTCCCGCTGCACGACGGCTAAGCAGGAACAGTTTGAAAAGCCCTTTCACGTGCGTTGTAGAGGAGGGAGTGTGGCCTGACGGCTCCTGTGCCCAAGCTCTGGTGAACAGCTCCTCACTGCTGCTGTCACGCGGCCCTGCTGCTTTACACAAAGGCTGTCTGCTTGCCCACTTTCAGAATACTCTCAATACTGGAGAGCTTCTTTTGTGATGTGCTGGAAAAAAAAGAATCTTTCCCTCTCCTTATTCTTAGAAGTAGCTTTATTTTAGGTGTGACTTTGTGGAGAAGTGAGATCCAGCACCAGGCCCCTCTTGAGGCTGAAAAATTTTTCCATTTAGGCAGATCTTGTAAACCACTAATGAGAGAGTTTTCAGTAAGACGTGTTGGGTGAATTAATCTTGTGGTGCCAGTCCTGTCTGGGTAAAGCTGGTATCTGTAATGGGTGTCTTGGGTGCAGTAGTGCCGCATCTCCAGAAAATCCTACTGTCGTGGTCCTCGAGAAGTTTTCTGTAAGGGGAATGTAGTCATGGCATTATCTGGGCCTGTGGAGAGGCTGAATTTTTCTTTCTTTTTTCTGTATAAAGGAGCCTGGGTGTTCTTACAGAGCTATTTTCCTGCCTGTTTTATACTTCTGTGGCTGCTATCAGTTGTAACGCTAGTTTGATTCAGTAGTCTGAGACTAAGCAGAGAAAGAAGAAACGGGATCTTAGCAGGAGCATTCAGGATGGTTCCCACCACCTGTGTAACAGCAGCGTTTACTGAGGGAGGGAACGAACACTTTGCTTACAGCAGCGTTGCCCCTTTATCAGGCCTTTCACAGCTACTGCTCTTAGTCTCCTCCAAGCCTAGAGAAACGCAGTAACTGTTACTGATATTTTAAAAATTAAAAACCTACAAGGAAGAGTGGTTGCACAGAATCAAACTCTCAGACTTAAATAATAAGTAAACCCAACCCATGCTCTGTTGACCACCTCTAAAATGTGTTAGATGGAAGCCGTTTCAAAATGGCATTCCCGTTTGGCAAGGGAAACTTCCTCTCCGTGGTGGGTGCAAGAGCCTCTTCTCGAGCAATAGACAAATTCCTGTGATGGTCAGGTTGTGGGGCGAGAGGCCAGCTCTTCTGCAGTTCTAACACTGTAGCGCTCCATGAGAGATACCAGCTCTGAGACAGTCCGATGCCACACAGCCGGCAGCTTTGCCCGGGGTTAGCAGCCTTCGTGAGCTTCTGGATGTGCTCGTGACAGGCTGTCACCCGGGTGTGGGGTTTCCCAGGATGGTTCTCTGGCTGCTGCTCTCTGTTATCGTTGCCCAAAGGCCTCAGGCAGGAGCAGAGCCTCGTCCTTCTGGGTTAGTGTGCACGCAGAGTGAGGGGCTGCAATGGGACTTTGTCTCTAGGAGATGAAGAGGGGAAACAGTCATAAATGCATGGAAGGCTGCCTTGATACTAATTGCTCTCTCCTGGAACGCAGGTTCCTGCTGGACAGGGTGGCCGGCTTGTCAGAGGAGTTGATAGCATCACGGCTGGTGCCTCTTCTGCTCAATCAGCTCGTGTTTGCAGAACCTGTAGCTGTCAAGAGTTTTCTTCCTCATCTGCTGGGTCCAAAGAAAGGTGACCTTTAAATACTTTCTCTCTTCAGAATCATTACTGACAAGTTTGGAATGAATTCAGAGTGGTCGTTCTGTTGAATCAAGGGAACAATGTAACATACAGAACTGGAAAAGACAGTTACGTGTGCTTCCCCATTGGCAGTACTGTCCACTGCTCCGCTGATGCTAGGAAGAGAATCGGGAATTGCCTGGGCTCTTTCCCAGGTTTACGTGCCACCGCGTCTGCGCACCCCAGGCTTCCTCAGTGGCTCACTGCATGTCCCCCTCTCGCCATTCCCCCACCCTCCCTGCCTCTCTTGTCTTCTGCTGCTGCACCCACTCTGCTGTAACGACGCTCAGTCTCTTCTCCTTTCCTCTGTAAGGGCGTTCAGCACGTCTCGCTGGATCCCCGGCTAGCTCTGTCCCCGCTCTTTGCCTCTCCTCTCACAATTTTTCCTAAATAGTGGCTGGTGTTTCGGCCAAGCACTACCTGTCTTGTGACTTGTGTCTTGTTTGACCTTCTGCGTTCAGAGCCATTGCCACCGAGCAATGGATCTGGCACTGCTGCCTCTCCTCCCTCCCATCTCTGACAGCCCAAGCAGGCTGTGTTGACAGCTGACAAAGAATCAGACCTGGCAGTGGGGTGACACTGTAGGTCTCGGCTGTGATGGCTTTTGGGCGAGCTGTCGCTCATCATTGAAGCAGCCTTTTGCCATCTTCACCTCTCTTCCCTAGAGCAAACTGGAGAAAACCAGACCAGCTGCCTCCTGTCGCCAGCCTTGTTCCAGACGCATGTCATTCCTGTGCTGCTGAAGCTCTTTGAGGTTCACGAGGAGCACGTTCGAATGGTGTTGCTGTCTCACATTCATGCCTACGCAGAACTGTTCTCTCGGGAGGAGTTGAAAAACATCATATTGCCGCAGGTTAAGGACAGCAAAACACTAACGGTGTATCCTAGAACACGGGATTTCTACTGCTCGGGTTGGTTCTTAGCTTAACGTTAGAATCTCGTGGTGCTCAGTTAGTTTGCAACCTCCTCTCTAGGTGAGCCCTGACCCTCACACCCCATGCTGACCTGGAGTGCTGTTTTTATTACACCCAATGCCCTGTCACACAGGCCACTGGTGCTGATACCTGTTGGTGGTTGTTACGCTGTTTCACGCCACAGCTGTCAAGAGTGGAGCAGGGATTGGTCTAAGTTCAGGGTGCTTTGGTGTTACGGTCCAGTGCTCACCAGGCACTAGGATCAGCTGCCTTCTTGACCTTGTGACACAAAGTGGAAGACTGACTTTATGCTGCAGAACAATGTCCAGTATCTACTGAGAGCTGTGGGAGATTGTAGAATTGAAATGTGCTGCAACTCTAACATTTCACGGGAAAAGAAGTGAAAAAGCAGAATTTTTTGTTCTTAGTAATGTTGTGATGTTCTTGGTGTAGGTGTTGCTGGGCCTTCGAGATACCAGTGACTCTATCGTTGCGATAACGCTGCACAGCTTAGCAGTTCTCGTCTCCCTGCTTGGACCCGAAGTAGTTGTCGGTGGAGAAAGAACAAAGATCTTCAAAAGCTCTGCACCAAGTTTCATGAAAACTGCTGATATCTCCCCAGAAGGTAAATGACACAGAGCGCTCTCGGGCTTCTTGCCCACTCTGGCCAAGCAACATAGGCAGAATTTCTTGAATGATTAATCTTTTGCTGTTAAGAGGTTAATTGAAAAAAGCTAATTTGAAGTTAAACTTTTAATTCTAAATCAGGTGCTGATTGTTTGCGGATACAGAATTGGTATCATAAGAAGAGTTATATAAAAGTATTTTAAATGTAGGACATATATGGGGAAAAATTTTAGGGATCTTCTTCGTTTTAAGAATCTCTGTAAGTGAAGGAGCTTAAGTGTGTGTGTGTGTGTATTTGTGTGTCTTTGGAGGAAAAACTGTACTGCCCTTCTAAAGGACTTCTGTATTTGTCCACATACTTGTTTAATGTTCCCTCTGTCCTTCATGGTTTTAAAAATAGTAAATCTCATCCTTTTCCCCCAATTTCTATTCATAGATTGGAAAAGGAATACGAACTTCCCTATTTTCTCAGCTCTCTGGAGGCTTTTCAGCTAATCCAAGTGAAGGAAGTAGTCCCTGCACCTGCTAGATAACGCGGAACCAAGTGTACTAAGGGAAAGCTTTTCTGGATATTCAGACTAAGAATGCTTATAAGTGGAGGGAAGAATCTGGATTTGTTCTGCTTCAGACATATAGATACCAAATGAAATGCATGAGAAGAGATCAATTTATGTACAAGTGTTTTCTTCCTGATTCTGTGTGTACTGACAGCTACCACCCTTTATTATTTCTGTGGATGGGTCATTGCATTATTTTGCTTTACATTATTTTAGTAAGCTACAGTAAATAAAACCCTTTGCATTGCATGCTAAAACCAGGTTTATTTTTCAGAATGTATTTAAAATTAGACCCGATTAAACTCTTGGCAAACAACAACAAACCCACCTTTGTCCTCAAATGCGAGCGGTGACCTGCAAAAACCACTACTAGAGGCTGAACACGTGAGGCTTAATAAGCTGTTCGCCCAAGTCCCTAGAAGGATGTCCCTGTTCCCAAGGGCACCGTGGGGAGGGGGTGGCTGCTGTGTGTTAACTGCAGTCCTTTCCCGTGCCTGGCTGGGAACACAGGTGAGCCACAGGGAAGCAGACGCAGCACTGGCCCCAGCCCCGCTGGCCTGGGGTGGTGGCAACAGGGCCTCATGCAGCCGAGGCCGGTGCTGGTGTGTCACCACCACTGACGATACGCTGGAACTCCCCAGAGCGAACTGGAACTAGGTGCTTGCCAAGCTGTTGTCACTGGGCTGATGTCCCTGACTTGGTGCTGCGAGCTGCCTTGCTCATGTCTAAGCATAAAAGAGGGTTTTGTGTAGTAGCATGAGTTTACTGATGCTTTGAATTGCTGGGACTATCAGCACGGGGCTTTCACGTGAGAGGCAAGCGACAGGGGACTGGCGATGCCACGCAGTACAGAAGCTGGGGTTTTGGATCCAGCCAGGTGGCAGACAGTGTTTTATAAAGCATCTGTTCAGATTATGATCAGTTTGTTCATTGCATATTTCTTGAAAGAAGGTATCAGCAGAAAACGACTACTTACAGTTGCCTAAACTTGGTACTGGCAAGAGCTGCCGCTGGCAGGGACAGAGGAGCGTTGTGTCACGTGCAGCTGTTGCATTGCTGCGCCCATCTTCAGTCAGCGTTGCTTGTCAGTGTTGGAAATGGAAATGTTCTAATGCTGTGGGCAGTTTCAGCTCAGACTGACAACACACCTCATGGACTCGGTCTCCCTTCTTTTCTTTTATCCCTGCAGACTCCCCCAGTCATGTCGTAAGCAATCAGAGAAATCAAACCTCTCGGCCCTTGAAGAACAATTCCAGTGTGTTCCCCATCTCTGGAAGTGTACCTGTCAAGAAGCTGTCCGTGCGACACGACAATCCGCTGGCTTTAAAGACAGGTAAAACTTAAACCCCAGCTCTTCCTTTTTAGAAATGAAGTGTTCTACAAATGAAGCGTTGCTTGAAAAGATGTTACTTTGCCCCATGTGCTGATGTGAAAGATTGGGTGAACCAAGGAAGGCAGCAGTGCAGGAAGGAGAGTGTGCCCCTTGACTGCCTAGGGAACAGTTATCTGGGAATCTGATATGCATGGGCTGCTGGTCGGCCTTGAATTTCTGTCTCCTCAGGGCAGGTTCTCTGCTGTGCTTTCTCACCCCTCCCCCAGCTTGGCAGAAACACTGTATTTATAGGTCAGCTCATTCTCTGACCTCAGAAGCTGACTCACTTTTACTTTCACGGCCCTTTTCCAGTCACCTAATGCTTAGCAGCAGTGAGCTTCTGTTGCCCCTTTGAGGGCTCTGAGATGAGTACCCCTCCTCTGCAAGCAGGAAGGTGGCTGTGCTTTCTAATATGGGAAGAGCG